TATATATATATATATATATATATATATATATATATATATATATATATATATATATATATATATGCAAAGTGATTATGAGTTAACCTTCAGTTGGAAACTATGACTTACCTTCACTTTTTTAAAAGTTATTTACCAGTGTTTAATCCAACTTAACTCAGTGTCACTTTTTCATGGCATTTCAGGTAAATACATGGTTTACATAGTTAGTGATTTTCTTGATGATGGCTTTCTCTTATCCCTCACATGAATATGGGGAGAAAAAATCATTAAATTTCGAAATGACAAAATTCTGTTTTGAATTATAAATCGAAGCTCAAAACCCTAGGATATATTGTTCCTCATTGGAAAGCAACAAACTTCCAACGTACTTGTAGAGATGCAGCTATGCCCTCTACAGTGATACCCAATAAACGCCCAGCAATAGCACCCATAGCAAGACTTGGTACAAACAGACCGGCGGGGACCTTGATGCCAAAAGTGAATATTGTTAATATCAATTTTATTATCAGCGCCATAATAAGATCAATAAATGCACTCTAAAAAAAATAAGAAATAAAATTGAAATCGGATTAATTTAAAAATTTAATAAAATGTTTTATAGTCAACGTCCATCAATTTTCACCCTCTTTATTAATACCCATTATTATAGTTTGAAAGGAAAGCAATGATGCCCCAATACTTCTGATTGCATGAGTGATTAGCAGATCCCATTTCCCAGTATTACCCTTTCCATTAAGTGAAGTGTCTGTCTGAATAGGTAAAGAAAAATACTTCCCTTTTCGCTACAATTATAAAAGTATCCCTGATGTTACTGTTTTCAGTAGTGGCCCTTTTTCAAGCAATCTATATGATAACAAGGATTAGAAGATTTTTTCTAATGTCAGGAAATTTATGCTATAATGTGATAAGATCATACTATAATATTTTGGGTCAAATTAACTTCTCACTTTAAATTTAATTATTCCTCATAAGGCGATATTTACCAGTTGATCGTTCTTAGTAAAATGAGTGAAATGACTCAATGAAGGACCTTTTTTCGTGACGGAGCAATTGATATAATGAATTTTAAACTTACATGCACTCCTGCTCCTAATTCTCCAGTGTGATAATTATCATCCACTTTATCGAAAGAGAATGTTTTATTTTGATAATCACAAAGATCCATCATAAAATCTTCGGGACCACAGCGATCGAAAAGCTACAATTCATCGAATTATCAGAAATGAAAGTAAAATGAAGTTCATCTAACATATTAAAAACAGGGTTGACAATACAAAACGAACCTATGGGATGATAGCAGAAAAGGATTACATGCTCCATTTGTTCCAGGAAAAAAGCAAATTATGAAATACATTCAAAAAAAAACTGATTCGATTATGTTATTAGCTGTATCAGTTTGAGTTCCACTGAACCATTCACACCTTTGTTTGACGATGTAACAGCGACTCGACATATTCTTTCATTCTATTCCTAACCACTGTTTTCATGACATTATTTCGTTTTTCTAAATGTTTTCCCTTCAAAAACTTATTGATTCAGCTAAGTTCAATCTCGTCCTTTGTTTTTGATTGGGAAAGTACATGGTCCTTACCGTAGCTACATACATCAGCAAATCAAATCAATATCAGAAGCACATCGGAAAATTATCCGAAAACAAAATAACGGAAGCAAAACTAACTTGTCTTATCAATGACGATGAACTTCGACGGGTATATGGATTAAAGTAACTGACAAATGCTGTGATGAGTGTCACAACAAGAACCTCTTTTACAGGATTACTACCCAACGTCTTATTCGCTTTTCGGAACCGACACCATTTTATGTTCGCCCTTCAAATAAGAACTGTGACTTTAACTAAGTGAAAAACTGTACTTTATAAAAGTAAAGTAGAAAGAACAGTAAGAGTCTCCTTATATAGTTAGCCACAGAAAAATCCAAAAAAAAGTGCTGTATCGAAATTCACTTAAAAAAAGCTCACCATATGAATAAACTTCCAATGATACCACCAAACAACCCAAGACCAGCAAATGGAATAAGTTCTACAAATGTCCATTTCATGCTGTAGTCCACGTGAAACAAAGAAGTCTGAAATTTCCAATTTTGGGATAAATTCGCATCTAAATCTGTCTAAAATTAATCAAATAAAAACATGCAACATCTAAAAAGCATATTTATTATATCTAAATAAAATATATTTGAGTAAAATATGCGAACAAAATTCCTATTGCAAATAAAACTTTCGCTAAAGGAGTACTGAATGAAATTACATAAATGCACTTAAACTTTTTCAGATAAGGCGATAAACTAATAAATTAAAAAAGTTATTGCCTTTAAAACAACTCTACAAAAAGAGGGAATAGCGACAGGCTGTACGAGACATTTCGAAGCCTCTGTCCACTATTAGATGAGAAAAATAAGTTTGGTTACTTTGTAAAATGCAGAATTTAATCTTACATGCTAAAAATAAGTCATCGAAAATAATTTGCCGCATACCTGATCACTTCCAAATGGATTCATTATTCGTAAGATTATTCCAGCAATAAGTGCGCAAAAGAATGAACGCCACATAGTTTTCAAGGGGAAATAATAACTTGCTTCTTCCAGACTGCAATCTCTCTTTCAAACATAACTGGTCAGACAAGGTTTCTATGAGTAATCTCTTAGTTCTTACTTGCAAGAATGTTCCCTGTCTCCTTCCTTGCATTTCCTTTTCAAAATGCAAAATAAGTTATTTAACAAAAAGGTATCTGTGAAATGAATATGTTTAAATGCTTTCTATAAGCTTATTAAAAGTAACTGGAACACAACAAAAATACTGTTTATTCCTCCTTTGCATTATGGTTCATTTTGGAAAAACTTTAAAAGTTTCAAAATTACCTAAATAAAACTCCTCCTATAGGAGCACCAAATGCAACTGAAACACCGGCTGCAGCAGAAGCGCTTAGTATTTCACGTTTTTTGGCTTCATTTGAGCCATATTTTGGAAAAAGATAAGAGAATATATTTCCTATGCAACAAGCTAAATGTACCATTGGACCTTCTTTTCCCAAGTTCAGACCTGAAATACGGCACAACCAATTACATATCCAAAACTGAACAAGAAATTTCCCTGGCAGTTTTTTTTTCTCCCTTCCAAAAAGAGCACCCAATACTACAAAAAGTTCGAAAAACATTACCAACCAGATGCAGATGCCAAGATTAAGCCAACAGATTTAATAATAAAAGTCCATTTACCCAAATAACCTCTAATGATGAAACCGGATAAAATGCATTTAATCTCGGGTATACCCGAACCGCAAGCATAAGGAGCAAAAACCTAGAAATAGACTCTTTTTACAGATAGATTATAAGGTGTTTAATTAGTTTTAGAAATGCAACAAGCCTATTTTTCTGTTTATATTTTCATCTTTTATTGGATGTTATTTCTAAATCTCGAGATACACTTCCCATTTCTCTTTTTTAAGTAAAACAGATGAAAACCAACTTTGCTCAATATAAAAATGAAAACCGTCGCAATCCATACACACTATGAGAAAGTTTAAATGAATTATCATTCTGATGTAGAAACGTGCCTTGACCAAAGCTACAGTTACTCCTGTCATCAGTACACTCCAACCACAATAAAAGAATAATTCCAACACATAATAAAAGAAATTTCGCTCATAAAACTGCATCATTTCAGGCCAGGATGTCCATGCTGCACAATCTGCATCTTTATAAACACTATCGTTTGCTGACCAACAACAATGTTCACGATCAAGCCAAAATCGATCGGCACATACACCATCCTAGAAGAATCAAAGCACTACAGTAAAAAAGAAAAGCTTGAAAATAGTCATAAAGTACCAAATCTTTTCACATTTCATTTCTTCAGCAACATCTCGAAACTATGTGCTCAATCTACTCCATTTATGTTGCTCAAATACACAATGCTTTTCAAAAAGTACGTTTCTCAGAGACATTACCTTTAAATCACTCATCCAACGCGCCCCAATATCAATAATACCAGCAATGGTGCCAGCAGCAAGACCAACCATCAGTACACATGCCCAACCACTTCCCGCATCCCATAAACTACTTAGTTTACCAAAAGGAGTTTTTGATCGTTTTACAATGAATTTGTGACGCAATCTGTCCCGAGCTAGATCTCTTTGCCAGTCTATTGTATGAAAGTCATCGTACCGGCTGTAAAAAAAATGTAGATATACATGGTTTTACCAACAATCTAACAACTAACATGGACTAGCATACTTCCTTCAAGTTGTACAGTAACAAGAAAATGTACCAATATTGAAACAATTCGACATACAAGGAAGTAAATTCAAGTCAATTATTCTAATTCTCTTAGGATTTTTTCTAAATGGCATTACTCACAAGACTCAAAGTGAAAACCTCTCTATCGGCGCTGAAGCTTCATCGATAGTTATTTCGTCACTGTCAGTTAATGCAATACAATTACTTCCATTTGTGCCTAGAATATACGTAAATGGTTAATTTCTGCTTGAAATAAATAGATAACTCCGAAAACACATGGACTAATGAAACCCCCAAATAAAATAGACCAATAAAATCATATATTCTAAATCAGAAGAAAATGAACAAATCTTTAGGAAATGAAATTTACGAATAAATAAATAAACATACCGCGATATTTTAACGAACTACGGCTACTCTGTTCGGCATGTACCATTGCTGGTGCAGTATTAGAAATGGTAATATTGGAAGTAGGAATGACTGTATCATCATCGCCCAACATTATGCTTGTTTCTAATTCGATTTGAGCCCTTTTTATCTTTCGATACCGATTAAATGTTGACAGTGGTGTTCTGGATTGATTCGGTGATATTAAGCACGTTGTTTCACTTTGCTATAAAAAATAGTTTTTCCTAAAATTCAGCTAATTCATGCAGAACCTACTATCTACTGAGAATTTGCAGTTAAATCCGCTAGTTTTTTCACTTGTATATATACATATGTATATATATATATATATATATATATATATATATATATATATATATATATATATATATATATATATATATATATAT